CACAGAACACAGCTCCAGCCAACACAGAACACAGCTCCAGCCAACACAGAACACAGCTGCAGGTAACACAGAACACAGTTCCAGCCAACACAGAACACAGCTCCAGCCAACACAGAACACAGCTCCAGGCCATACAGAACACAGCTCCAGGTAACACAGAACACAGCTCCAGCCAACACAGAACACAGCTCCAGCCAACACAGAACACAGCTCCAGGCAATACAGAACACAGCCCCAGCCGATACAGAACACAGCGCCAGCCGACACAGAACACAGCTCCAGCCAACACAGAACACAGCTCCAGCCAACACAGAACACAGCTCCAGCCAACACAGAACACAGCTCCAGCCAACACAGAACACAGCTCCAGGTAACACAGAACACAGCTCCAGGTAACACAGAACACAGCTCCAGCCGACACAGGACACAGCTCCAGCCAACACAGAACACAGCTCCAGGTAACACAGAACACAGCTCCAGCCAACACAGAATACAGCTCCAGGTAAAACAGAACACAGCCCCAGCCAATACAGAACACAGCTCCAGCCAACACAGAACACAGCTCCAGCCAACACAGAACACAGCTCCAGGTAACACAGAACACAGCTCCAGGTAACACAGAACACAGCTCCAGCCGACACAGAACACAGCTCCAGGTAACACAGAACACAGCCCCAGCCAATACAGAACACAGCTCCAGCCAACACAGAACACAGCTCCAGCCAACACAGAACACAGCTCCAGGTAACACAGAACACAGCTCCAGCCAACACAGAACACAGCTCTAGGTAACACAGAACACAGCTCCAGCCAACACAGAACACAGCTCCAGCCGACACAGAACACAGCTCCAGGTAACACAGAACACAGCCCCAGCCAATACAGAACACAGCTCCAGCCAACACAGAACACAGCTCCAGCCAACACAGAACACAGCTCCAGGTAACACAGAACACAGCTCCAGGTAACACAGAACACAGCTCCAGCCGACACAGGACACAGCTCCAGCCAACACAGGACACAGCTCCAGCCGACACAGCTCCAGCCAACACAGAACACAGTTCCAGCCAACACAGAACACAGCCCCAGGCAACACAGAACACAGCTCCAGCCGATACAGAACACAGCTCCAGCCAACTCAAGTCCATCAGACAGCTCAGCACGGTGTATCTTTTTCCCACCAGACTAGCCGCTCACCTTCGTCGACGAGTAGAATTGGACTGGAATCAATAGTCGATGATTACGAGGTGAGCGGGGTCGGGTTGAGACAAAGTGCGCATGCATGCGTGCGTCAGTCTGTCTGTCTGTGCATGTGTCGCGCAATTTCTGGAGTTCACGATCCCTGATTTCGGCACGGCTTCCAAACCGTTAGAATCCAACGAATGAGAGAAAACAGGTTGCATGACGCCGCGCGTGCCCTGGGTTCGAACTCGGGCTCACGCGGGCCAAGGACTCGGGGATTGACTTCACGCGTAATTTTCCGCAGTATAAAAAAAATTACGTCTTGGTTTTGGCCACGGAACGGCATGGCCATAATTGTGTCTTGAAGAGCCTCCATGACCCCTGCCATAGCCACACAAGTGACCGCGTACATGCCGACTTTCCTGAGGATGCTCGAGGCAGCGTCCACGCAAACATCGTTGCACATCGAACCACTTCGAACTCTGGGTGTGCGAGCCGTTCTGCAGACTCGCCGGTGAGCGAGCTGACCACGGCAATCATCGGTGTGCGTCGCAAAACGCGTGTGCACAGCGCGGCAAATATTATTCGCTGGGCCGTGTCGCGCGGTGGAGGGTCTTACGACACAAATTTTTCCGGATCGTTACCGGCAACAACAAAAACGAATTACAAATCGAATTACTAAATTTTTTTGCTATTTAATAATTCGCCGCCACTCGGCGATACCATTACATTTTGTTAACCTCATGATTCTAGAATCCATCCGCCCTACAGCTATCTCATGGGCACCTTACAAATCAAACCTGGTTGTCCCACCTGATGACGGACAGCTTGTGTTGCGCCCAAAACGTCGTGATTTAATTTATTTACACCTACCACGTGACTTTACCGAAAGAACCAAAGATTATGGATCCCTGCAGTCACGAAAACTTCAAATCTAGATTAAATCAAACCTACCTTGATATCTGCCATTCACACACAGGAGTCTCTCATCCACGCTGTAACCAACCAGGTTCACACCCCTGCTTAGCTTTCAATCATCCTGCATTGAGATGTTTGGCCAGTTTCATTCATAAATGTGGTGCTGGTAGAAAACCGGAGAAGTCATGCACAAGAGCAGACACCACGAGACATTTCACATCCCTCCCACAGTGATTCTAATCGTCAAGATTCAGGATCGGAGTTTCGATGCTGTCTCATTTTGACCACCTCATTTGTATTGTTCTTGCTGTCATTTATATCTCCTTTGCAGGGTTCGGTTTGTTCCATTAGCCGAGAAAAAAAACCGATTCAGGTTGAATGACGCTCCAGCACCGACTTACTTCCAGTCTGGTCACCTACCATGGTTACGGTACAAGAACTTCGCTCACGGATTCCTCCACCCACGGTGAGGATTTGGTCTCCAGGACACTGGCCGTTTCAGCTCATCCTCCGCACCGTGATCAACCACCACACTGCAGATCACAACACCACCCTCACCTCAACTCACCCACTCACCAACTCGCCACACTTGCAGGTCACAACACCACCCTCACCTCAACTCACCCACTCACTCATACACCCACTCACCAACTCGCCACACTTGCAGGTCACAACACCACCCTCACCTCAACTCACCCACTCACTCATCCACCCACTCACCAACTCGCCACACTTGCAGGTCACAACACCACCCTCACCTCAACTCACCCACTCACTCATCCACCCACTCACCAACTCACCACACTTGCAAGTCACAACACCACCCTCACCTCAACTCACCCACTCACTCATCCACCCACTCACCAACTCACCACACTTGCAGGTCACAACACCACCCTCACCTCAACTCACCCACTCACTCATCCACCCACTCACCAACTCGCCACACTTGTAGGTCACAACACCACCCTCACCTCAACTCACCCACTCACTCATCCACCCACTCACCAACTCGCCACACTTGCAGGTCACAACACCACCCTCACCTCAACTCATCCACTCACTCATCCACCCACTCACCAACTCACCACACTTGCAGGTCACAACACCACCCTCACCTCAACTCACCCACTCACTCATCCACCCACTCACCAACTCACCACACTTGCAGGTCACAACACCACCCTCACCCACTCACCACACTTGCAGATCACAACACCACCCTCACCCACTCACCAACTCACCACACTTGCAGGTCCCAACACTACTTCTCTTTCTGCTTCCCACGCACTGCCTCACTCTGTGATTCCCTCTTGGCGTTTTGGGCTTGCGGGCTTGCATTCAGGAGCCGCTATTTAAAATAAAAGTTTACCGTTTGCATAAACTGAAGACGATCCGACTCTCGCAAGTGTGATCCTATGCGCGCATCGCGAGAATAATAATGAATCTAGAAACTAAAAACATTATTTAGCAGGTTAAACCTCTACGAGATATCCACTTTTCAGAGGCGACCTGGCCACACACAACGAAAGCTCATCGGCGAAGTGGCTGGTATCATCATCATCATCACACGTGGGAATTTATACTGGCGAGCCCAATTATCTAAACGTGTGTTCATTCTAAATGTGGAGGGAGGGCGGAGTGGGGGGGGGGGGGGCAAAACCGCAGGAACCAGGATGAACGATCCACGTGACCGCCACAGGCAAAGAGACAGAACACGCCGACTCCAAATATGCAACAGCAGGCATCGTCAGGGTACGGGAGCGACACCCACGACTCTCCTGCGTTAACAGGCGAGGGAGAGGACACGTCTCCTCGCCGCCGCGGTTGCCCCGTTCATTTTTTCATTGACAAATTGACGCGGTGGCGCAAGCTTCTCGTGCCATCGAGAGGGGGGGGGGGGAGGGGTAATGTACAGAGGTGAGAATGAGTGCTGCTGCTGCTGCCGCTGCCGCCGTGTGGAGATTTCTTTGCAGCGTACGAAGCGGGTTGATCATCCTCTTTTCAGGGAGCAGCGTACGAAGCGGGTTGATCATCCTCTTTTCGCAATGTACACGTATCGCAAAAGAAAGTCTGTCGTCGACAGGCAGGTCTTAAACAAAAAAGAAATCTTCATTTTTGTTGTTTTATTGGCTCCAGTGGTGGTCCTAGGGTGAGGCAGAAACGGCGGCGCTGGGTGGGGCGAGCGTGCAGGGTGGGGGCGCGAGGGCCGATTGCCCAGACAGGCATTGGGGTGGCGGCCTTTCACGAGTCCAGCGACCAAGGGGAAGAGAAGGTCAAAGAGCAGATGGTGGGAGACTGGTCAGGGCACAACTGTGTGCCCCTCTGAGTCTATGGGTCTCAGAATCAAAATCTTTATTTTGCTGGAGAAATCTGATGAGCTATGAAGCTCTTTTTCACAGATGTCCAGCCTCTGTGTGAGTCTACGGGTCTCTGTGTGAATATATGAGTCTCCGTGTGAGTCTATGGGTCTCTGTTTGAGTCTATGGGTCTCAGAATTAAAATCTTTTTCACAGATTTCCAGTCTCTGTGTGTGTCCTGGGTCTCTGCGTGAGTCTATGGGTCTCTGCATGAGTCTATGAGTCTCTGTGCGAGTCTACGGGTCTCTGCGTGAGCCTATGGGTCTCTGTGTGATGAGTCTATGGGTCTGTGTGCGATGAGTCTATGGGTCTGTGTGTGATGAGTCTATGGGTCTTTGTGTGAGTCTAATGCCAGACAGTGGAACGAGACTCTAAAGGCAGACCTTTCAGGTGGCTGTGAGTCGACTTTGCAGCAGCTGCGGGATCTGGTGGAGGGGAGAGAACGCGTTGGCGATGAGGTGCGGTGGTGGTGGTGGTGATGGTGGTGGTGGTGATGGTGTCATCAAAAGCCGTGGCCACGATGACAACTCGATCCAGGGCTTGGTCCCGGGTTATTGGGCTTACTCAAGATTTATTTCATTAAGAAAATTACTTCCCTCCCCCCATAATTTTTGTCGGAACCGCCTAACACACCCTCATTATTCTTCGTCGAGACACACATCGTGGCCGATCCGCGTTCCTCCACGCACACTCTGACACCCCCCCACCCCCGCTAAACTACCACCGTCACCATCCCTCTGCCAACACCGCCGCCTACGTCGCCATCGCCGCCTTACGGCGAACATCGCCGTACGTCGCCAAGTAACGTGACAACAACAACGTGGTGACAACAACAACAACGTGGTGACAACAACAACAACGTGGTGACAACAACAACGTGGTGACAACAACGTGGTGACAACAACGGCGGCGGCGGCGGCACAGGAAGACCGGTGAAGGTTAGGCGGAAGCCACGGACGCCGCCGCTACACTATCGCCGGTAGCTCGCCACCGTGAGGCCGCACCCAGCGGCCAACACCGGAGACCTCCCGTGGCCGCCACAGAGGCCGCTGGGGGCGCGGGGCCTATTCGGCCTTGCGTCCCTTGTTGCGCGAGCGCAACACGTTCTCCTGCCGCTTGGCCTTCTTCTTGGCGTCGCGGTCGCGCGCCTCGATGGCCTTGGCGAGCTTCCAGGAGAGGGCGGCGCTGGCCAGGAAGAAGGGCGACAGCGCCAGCAGTACCGTCGACAGGAAGCCGTACGGGTCCTTGGCGGCCCACTCCACGCAGTACTGCAGCCAGCCCTGGAGCGTCTCCCACATCCTGCCGCCGCCTCCTCCTCCTCCTCCTCTTCGGCCCGCTCCTCCGTCTCGTAGCGCCGGCCGGGAGTGCTGGCGGGGTGGGTCGGTCGGTCGGTCGGTCGGGGGGGCGGTCGAGCGGAGGAGACGAACGGACACCACCGGACGACACCACCAGCAGCAACGTCGCAGCGGGACCCTGCTGCTCGCACGAAATCGCAACGGTGCTCGGATCAAAACTGGGACGGGGGCGGTGCGGGCGCCAGGCGAGGCAATTTTCAGGCCATCGCCAACGGCAAGAGTCAACGGCGACGCCTTTGCCGCCCGCTGTTGCGGTGACCTGGTACGGCAATGCGGTAGAGTGACGGGAGTCGGTGTTTGCTGCCATACATTTCCATATGATGAGCCACTTTGTTGAGCTATTGTTTGTGGACAGGTCTCTTATGAAAAAAAAGCTTATCGCTCAGTGGGGTTTTACCTGGTCAGATAAAAAATTAGTTTGGTTTTATTTGTATATATATATTTTTTAAGTGATTAATTTACAATTTCCATACTTTGCACTCCTGTTTTTGTCTTCTTTGTTTTTGTAACGTTGTTAACCACTCTCCCCTACTGGACATCTGTGGAAAAGAGCTTTACAGCTCATCGGATTCCTCCAGTACAAATAAATATTCTGTTTAAGAGTTTGCTTGAAAGCATGCTCGATGAACAGCGACTGGTCTCTGGAGCGCACAACCTATGGATGGCCACGTGACGTCCGCCCGCCATCTGATCAGAAGCTGCCGTCCCGGTTAACCGGCAACGTCTTAATCAAACGACAAGAGCCGTGATTATCTCGATCGCGGCTAAGTCCGTGACATGTACACACGACGGTGAGCGAGGGTGGGAGCTCACGGAAGAACATTCGCCATCGAAGTTTTTTGACGCCCGATCAACAGGAACTGGCGGCGGTAAAAAAAAAGTAAAAAAAAAACACCGCCACAACCGGCCGCGTTTTAAAACTCTGCAAGAGTTTTCGCGCATTCGCCAGATAACTCCGCGGTCCAAAACACGACGGGCCTGCCAGCCAGCCAGCCAACGAGAGGCTGTCAGCACATTTCACACCACGCCCCCCTCCCACTCACTCCCTCACCTCGCCCCCCCCCCCTGCCCCCTCAAACCCCCACCACCATCCCCCCACCAAAAAAAATAAACGGCGGCACTCAGTATGGGGCCGCCCTAAGCGGCAGCCGGGGAACGCAAGACAGAGTTTTAAATTCCTGCCCGTTCCGTTTATAGGTCGGGATCTTTTTTTAAAAGAGACTTTCCGTGCGCTTGAGGAATGTCGAGCTTCCTGAGACAAGAGGTTGGGAGGAGGATAGGGGGGGGGAATGTATCCTAGGCCGTGCCCAGCAATCAGATAAGGGACCAGGTTATCACGACCTCACTCGCGCGTGCACACACGCACACAGATGCCTATAAACATCTGGCAGTTCACCAGCATTGGATCAAGCAAGCTTGACTGCCAGTGAGATCCCGTATGTTGAAAGCAGGCCAGAGTTTTGCGAGTGTTAAACCAATGCTGCTGAGGTTGCGCGCTCCCAGAAGGCCGCGCGCTCCCAGAAGGCCGTGGTGACTGATGGGATTTTGTCGCACAAGGAGGGCTCACTGCAAATCTCGAAAATCTCTCCTGCACACGAGGGCGAGCGTTGAAATAACGACATCAGCTGAGGGTTTGAAATGACTTGGCGTGCAAAGGGGAAAACGCAAAGTGTCTATGCACGAAGTGACAGCGTTTGTTTGGGTGGCAGGGTGACAGGTTAGCAGGGCGGCTGGGTGGTAGTATAGCAGATTGGCAGGGCCGCAGGTTGGCTGGGCGGTCAAGTGGCAGGGCGGCAGAACGGCAGGGCGGTCAAGTGGCAGGGTGGCAAGCTGGCAGGGCCGCAGGTTGGCAGGGCGGTCAAGTGGTAGGGCCGCAGGGTGGCAGGGCCACAGGTTGGCAGGATGGTCAAGTGGCAGGGCGGCAGAACGGCAGGGCAGCAGGAAGGTCAAGTGGCAGGGTGGCAGGGTGGCAGGAACCCAGGTTGGCAGGGCGGTCCAGTGGCAGGGCGGCAGAGCGGTAGGGTGGCATGGTGGGAGGGTGGACTTGAGGGGATGTATAATTTCAGCAGCACTTGCTTGACACAAGCAAAAACCTAGCCCGGTTTCAACATTCAGCGTCGCATCAGCAGAGTCGGGCTCGCTGGTCGAGTGGGCTTGGGCAGCATGCAGCATCGGTGGAAGGTACGGTGGCCCGTGGTTAAGACTAACGCAAAGCAAACACTGCATCGGTTTCGACAAATCACTCTGGGGGGGGGGGGGAGGGGTTCACAGTCGACCGACCGTAGAGACGTTTAAAAAAAAATCTAATTCTTTCCTTCCTGCGAGTGACAATAAAATTCCTGGAACTCTCGTGACCTCTGCTATTCATTGCAAGCGTTCACCGAAGCAGTAACCCTACGCAGGATAAGGTGCCCGAGGAAGAGGCCACACGGGCAACGACTCTTCATTTTGTTTATTTTATTGTTTGACCGTCGGATAAAATAATACAATCTAGTTTTGTGAAACCGTGCGCGCCCCTTGGCCCCCAACACATCGAAATGGGCTGAAGGGCTTCTCAACAAAGTTTTCGGCAGCGCCACGAGGCTGGTGGAGCTGTGGAGGGGCACAGTGATGAATAAAACACACACCACGCGCACGCACGCAAAGATACCCCCAACGTATATAGCCTACGCAGACTGCTGGGACGAGTGCACCTATTAAAAGGCCGGAGTGTGGACCACGCGAGGGGATTGGGTGTGGCCAGCACCGTCTCTGGCTGCCTTTGTCTTCCCGCGCAGTGTCGGAAGTTATTCGACGCCAAGTCAAACCGTCCGAGGCCCAGGGTCCGTTTTTCCGATATTCCCTGGCGACGTTGGCCTTGAGCGGGAATCGAACTCAAGCTGCAGGGGGGGGGGAGGGGTCTGCAGCGTGGTGCGGTCCGCTGCCACGTCACCGCTCTCCCCCCGCCGCCACACATCTTTGATGAATAACGCAAAAGGCGCGGGCGACTCGCACACGCAACCGGCGATCTGCAACACAACGGTCGGATGGAATGCGATTTCAAACTCTAAACAAAATTGCTTTGAGACTTAAGTGTTTGCAAGAAATGTGTTTGGCATAAGCGCTCGCCCTAACACTAACCAGAACCAAATGTACACAAAACGCTTTGAAATGTAAAGCTTACAAAAGAGATGCGTTTGAATTAAAACCCGCCCCGACACTAAACAAAACCAAATCTGAACAAAATGTCTTTCGACCGCTATCGCAAGAAGAAACAAAAGAGCCATTTACCAATTCCGCCCCTCTCAGCGATTCAAAAGATTTGGCACAATTGAGGGGTCATGATCCCATTGGAGAATCGATCCCTTTTCGTCCAGTTTCCACCGCCACGTTTGTATTTAATTTTTTGTCTCGGGTTCCACAGTTTTTGTTCGCTTCGTCCGGCTGCAAGGGAACGCGTGTGCCTCGTTTGCGTGCGACTTTACACAAAATGTAAATAAGAGATTACCCCCACGGAACACACGATTCAATAAAAAACTATATCTTGAGCTATGTAGATTTTTCAGAAGCAACCTGGTTATCACAAATGGATAGCTCAAGAAAGTGGCTTATCATCATCGTGTGGAAATTTATAGGAGCCAAATACTCAAAACACACGATGGCGATTCTAAATGTGGAGAGAAAAACGCAAGGACCTGGAGAAAAATCCACGTGACCACGGGGAGAGAGAGACACGCAAACTCCACATATACAGCAGCAGGCGTCAGGGTCGGGATCGAACCCACGGCCTCCTCCATACCAGATGAGGGAGTTAACGTCTTGCCAACCTTGGCGCATGCATGTACCTTCAGCCTAAGTATCGATTTGATCGATAAATAATTTACTCCAGGCATTAAAGTGTGTCTGACTAAGCCCCAAGCCTAACATAAACCCAATCTACTCCAAAAATGTGTTTCCAAAGTTATCTCTTACCATTAAACGTTTAACCTCATCCTAACTCAAAGGATACGATACTATTTTTTTTGTTTATTTTACCAGGTAATGCCCACTGAGCTTTTTAGCTTTTTTCTCAGAAGCGACCTGGCCATCACAAATGGATAGCTGAACGAAGTGGCTTATCATCACGTGGGAATTTATAGCAGTGAGCAAATAATCGAAACCAGTAAAGGTGCAGCCCCGCAATTGCTTGCTCATGGCACTGCTAGCAGAAGGGCCTCCACCACAGGCAGCTCCAGAAAGCTCCTCTCGAGAACGTCACCTATTCTTCCACGCCAGCCAGATGTCTTGCAAGGTGTGGGAGTACCCACACTTTAACCCACCAAAACACCGGTGTAACAAATGAACAGCATCAGAGCATCATCAGGCTGACGTCTACATTTCCTTCATGAGTGTAAAATTAAAGACACAAGTTACAGTAGTGTGACTGTGCCCATAAAACCGAAACTATGGCCCACACCGTAAACACCACTGTGGTCTGCGCTCCTTGAACGGAGGAGGAACAGCAGCACCACGCAAACTCTCTATAGCTGCTAAAGCCCTCTCATCGGCGTCCAGCAGCAAACAGACCCTCGTCATTGGCATCGACCTTCTGAACCACAATGCTGCTGCCATCACGTGCAATAATAATGATGCCCACCACACACGGATGGCCTGCCGACTGATCGCCCGACTGCGCCATACGCATTCACGCCGCCGGGTAGACAAAGGGGCGGCTGGCCCAGCGCGGCTCAACGTTGCAGCCAGGGCGAAGGCCGACTCAGACCGAACCCACAATTCAATTAGTTCGTCACGCAACAGTCAGCGGAGGACCGTTGCGTCAAACGTGTGATCTCTTGCGACAGCAGGCGCGTAAACTGTTCTTGCTGCCGTACACCGGTGTCTCGAGTGATTTGCTTGATCCACGGAATCACATGGGAGAGCACGGGGGGCAGGTGCCATTCCTATGAGGGTCGCGGTCCACTTTCCACGTCGAACCGCGAACCAAAGTGCCCGATTTTCTCGAGTTTGCGCATCAAGACGGGGGCGACGCGTCCACAAAGCGGCAGCCGTCTCCCTCGAACTGAGCCCTCGATCGCGGGGAGAACCGGTCTCCAGATGCGGCGGTGACATTTCTGACGAAGTCGAACCTACGCGCAACAATTT